TTTGCCACAAGTCATTTGCCTTTGTCACAAGTGATTAGCCTTTGCCACAAGTGCTTAGCCTTTGCCACAAGAGATTGGCTTTTGCCACAAGTGCATACCCTTTGCCACAAGTGCATAGCCTTTGTCACAAGTTATAAGCCTTTGTCACAAGTAATTAAACTTTGTCACAAGTGATTAGTCTTTGTCACAAGTGATTAAACTTTGTCACAAGTGATTAGTATTTGCCGCAAGTGATTAACCTTTGCCACAAGTGATTAGTCTTTGCCACCAGTGATTTAACTTTGCCACAAGTGATTAGTCTTTGTTACAAGTGATTAGTCTTTGCCACAAGTGATTAGCCTTTGCCACAAGTGACTAGTCTCTGTCACAAGTGATTAGTCTTTGCCACAAGTGATTAACCTTTGCCACCAGTGATAAGCCTTTGCCACAAGTGATTAGTCTTTGTTACAAGTGATTAGTCTTTGCCACAAGTGATTAGCCTTTGCCACAAGTGATAAGCCTTTGCCATAAGTGATTAGCCTTTGCCACCAGTGATAATCCTTTGCCACAAGTGCTTAAACTTTGTCACAAGTGATTAGCCTTTGCCACAAGTGATTAATCTTTGTCACAAGTGATTAGTCTTTGTCACAAGTGATTAGTCTTTGCGACAAAAGATTAGTCTTTGCCACAAGTGATTAAACTTTGTCACAAGTGATTAGTCTTTGTCAAAAGTGATTAAACTTTGTCACAAGTGATAAGCCTTTGCCACAAGTGATTAAACTTTGTCACAAGTGATTAATCTTTGCCACAAGTGATTCAACTTTGCCACAAGAGATAAGTCTTTGCCACAATTGATTAGCCTTTGCCACCAGTGATAAACCTTTGCCACAAGTGATTAAACTTTGTCACAAGTGATTGGTCTTTGCCACAAATGATAAGTCTTTGCCACAAGTGATTTAACTTTGTCATAAGTGATTAGTCTTTGCCACAAGTGATTAGTCTTTGTCACAAGTGATTAGCCTTTGTCACAAGTGATAAGTCTTTGCCACAAGTGAATAGTCTTTGCCACAAGTGATTGGTCTTTGCCACAAGTGATTTAACTTTGTCACAAGTGATTAGCCTTTGTCACAAGTAATTAGTCTTTGTCACAAGTGATTAGCCTTTGCCACAAGTGATTGGTCTTTGCCACAAGTGATTTAACTTTGTCACAAGTGATTAGCCTTTGTCACAAGTGACTGGTCTTTGCCACAAGTGATTTAACTTTGTCATAAGTGATTAGTCTTTGCCAGAAGTGATTAATCTTTGTCACAAGTGATTAGCCTTTGTCACAAGCTATAAGTCTTTGTCACAAGTGATTAGTCTTTGCCACAAGTAATTGGTCTTTGCCACAAGTGATTTAACTTTGTCACAAGTGATAAGCCTTTGCAACAAGTGATTAAACTTTGTCACAAGTGATTGGTCTTTGCCACAAAAGATTAGTCTATGCCACAAGTGATTTAACTTTGTCATAAGTGATTAGTCTTTGCCACAAGTGATTAGTCTTTGTCACAAGTGATTAGTCTTTGTCACAAGTGATAAGTCTTTGTCACAAGTGATTAGTCTTTGCCACAAGTAATTGGTCTTTGCCACAAGTGATTTAACTTTGTCACAAGTGATAAGCCTTTGCAACAAGTGATTAAACTTTGTCACAAGTGATTGGTCTTTGCCACAAAAGATTAGTCTATGCCACAAGTGATTTAACTTTGTCATAAGTGATTAGTCTTTGCCACAAGTGATTAGTCTTTGTCACAAGTGATAAGTCTTTGTCACAAGTGATTAGTCTTTGCCACAAGTGATTGGTCTTTGCCACAAGTGATTTAACTTTGTCACAAGTGATTAGTCTTTGTCACAAGTGATTAGCCTTTGTCACAAGTGATAAGTCTTTGTCACAAGTGATTAGTCTTTGCCACAAGTGATTGGTCTTTGCCACAAGTGATTTAACTTTGTCACAAGTGATTAGCCTTTGTCACAAGTGATTGGTCTTTGCCACAAGTGATTTAACTTTGTCACAAGTGATTAGTCTTTGTCACAAGTGATTAGCCTTTGCCACAAGTGATTGGTCTTTGCCACAAGTGATTTAACTTTGTCACAAGTGATTAGTCTTTGTCACAAGTGATTAGCCTTTGCCACAAGTGATTGGTCTTTGCCACAAGTGATTTAACTTTGTCACAAGTGATTAGTCTTTGTCACAAGTGATTAGCCTTTGCCACAAGTGATTAGTCTTTGCCACAAGTGATTTAACTTTGTCACAAGTGATTAGCCTTTGTCACAAGTGATTAGTCTTTGTCACAAGTGATTAGCCTTTGCCACAAGTGATTTAACTTTGTCACATGTGATCAGCCTTTGTCACAAGTGATTAGTATTTGTCACAAGTGATTAGCCTTTGCCACAAGTGATTAGTCTTTGTCACAAGTGATTAGTCTTTGCCACAAGTGATTAGTCTTTGCCACAAGTGATTAGTCTTTGCCACAAGTGATTAGTCTTTGCCACAAGTGATTAGCCTTTGCCACAAGTGATTTAACTTTGCCACAAGTGATTAGTCTTTGCCACAAGTGATTTAACTTTGCCACAAGTGATTAGTCTTTGCCACAAGAGATTGGCCTTTTGTCACAAGTGATTAGCCTTTGCCACAAGTGATTAGCCTTTGTCACAAGTGATTAGCCTTTGTCACAAGTACATAGCCTTGTCCCCATGTGATCAGCCTTTGCCACAAGTGTTAAGCCTTTGCTACCAGTGCAGAGCCAGGCCAGCCTGTACATCCTCCCAGTCAAACCAGGCTTAATACTGTTATAAGTTCAATTTTTTTGTATTTTCATATTAAAATCCCGTGAAAAACTTCACATGGACTGTTACAAATTTGAAGCAGGGCAAATCTATCTACAGCAAGTTAAGGGTGTAGAAAATTGTTTCAAGAGTTTACGAGCTGTAAAACAAAATTCACTACCAAAATATCACTTTACATATCATTATGCAAAATACAACTAAATTGACTACATGTATTACCATAAAAGTACCCCTGTTACTAAGTGAGTCCAGTGTACATGTACTTTCATATATTCTGACATATTTTACATAATTTATATGGTGTGTAGGTACTTTATGCTTGATAAAGCTACCTCACATGTTCATTGAAATGAGATTTGAAACATTTTTTTTTTAAAATATTAAAATTAGCCACAAGTTAGCTCACACACTTCATTCAAAGACATGGGCTCAAAACCACTGGCAATATTCAAAGACACTGGCATTAGATTCAAAGCCACTCCACAAATTGATTTCCTTTAACTAGGTAAAGTTGCTACAAACCATATCTTAAGCCTTATCTTACTGAATTTGTATAATTAGCTAGCCATACTTTGAATTCAAAACTGTTTATGTGTCAACCCGATGGGTGCAATCTTCATATCTTTAATCTTTAAAATTACAAATTTCTTTAATCATTTTTTTCTCTCTCTCCCACCCGAAACTTGAACCATAATTATGAAATACATCTTTATCTAGTGCCATAATGAAAACAAACTATATCCAGAAGACACACATAATTTGTGTCTGAATCGAAATTGTTAATGACAGAATGACAGACTGAATCATTTTATATGACATTATTATGGTATTATTTTCTATTTATTTAACTCTTACAATGGCTACGCCATCAGTATAAAAATTCCAGACATGGGGGAATCCCACCAGAGTACTAAAAACTAAAACTTATGAAATGCAGACTTGGTAATACTGAAACAGTTAAAAAAACAGTTCAGGAAAAAAAATTGAAACATCTAGCACCCACTTAGCACAACTTTAACCATCCACCTAGATTACCAGCTTCTATATTTGGAATTGTCCATTCTCAACTTTGGGTATATCAAGATTAATTTCCAAATTCAGATCAGGACAAGTCCCCAGCACAAATTAACCCTTAACCCCCTGATTTTTTCATAATGGATTTGCCTAGCTTTGAATTTGGAACAGTAAATTACAAATTAAAGGAATTTTAATATCAAAATACCAAAATCATGCAATGAACACTTTAGACCCTGGTCGGACTGCAAGTTGCAAAGTATGTACAGGTTGGCCCAGCTCTTTACTGGTGGCAAAAGCTAATCACACTCGGTGTCAACAGGTTAAAGGGTTAAGGAAGGTAATAGGTAAACAGTAACTTATTCGTCCCATATTCTGTACAGAGATCACTCTTTACTATCAAAGGCAACATTAAAATCAAACTTTACAATTGTGTGTGAGAAGTTTTACAATGAAACATTCATTGATCAGCGATGTTTACCAATACGTTGTCAAAAGAAAATATGGGGCTAAATTCTTCATAAAACCACACATCAAATGCCATTCTTATCTATTTTATTGTATACTCAGCATATCAAAAATAAATTTACACAAGAGGAAATGAAATCTTAATGAATTCTTAACAAATACTTAAAATCCTGCTATAACGATTTTTTTTACATCCAAGTTTCCAGTTTCAAGATAACAATATTTTTGGTCGTACCTTACAAACTTAAACACCTTCATTTGATGGTCTGAAGTAATTTGGAATAAAAATAGTACCAAGGGAAGTAAATCAAGGCAGTATCTGGACTGTACTTGTTGTTTCCCCTTGAAATTTCTCATTTAATAGAATAAGTATTATTGGTTTTTACAAAGGAAAAGGTAATGACAGATTTTAAACCTGTTCTACTCTATTGTTAATTTATGTTAACAAACTGTCATGTAATTACAGACTTTGTACCCATGACAAATTAAAGGTCCTTTGCAACAATGGAACAAAGAATTTGCACAGATCTAAACACTGATTTTTTTTATAAAAGCATTAATCAATGCTATCTTGGGATAGATTAAATTTTGCTTTTGTCAGATCCACAAATTAAATACACCAAACAGATCTATAAATTTCCTGTAAGAAATAAATCCTTGATAAAAACAAAAATCTTTTTATCTCATGGATATGAATACAATCTTTGCTTTCTTACCATTATAGTCATTTTGTGGTTTGCCTGCTGGTAGTCGTATAGGAAATTCACCATTCACACCTCGATAAATCAGCTTCCTATCTTCATGCTTGTCCAACTTATAACTGACCTCATACATCAATGGTTTATGCTGAAATAGCATGATAATACATGTATATCTGTGACCTCATACATCAATGGTTTATGCTGAAATAGCATGATAATACATGTATATCTGTGACCTCATACATCAATGGCTTATGCTGAAATAGCATGATAATACATGTATATCTGTGACCTCATACATCACTGGCTTATGCTGAAATAACATAAAAATAGATCTGTGACCTCATACATCAATGGTTTATGCTCAAACAACATAATAATAGATCTGTGACCTCATACATCACTGGCTTATGCTGAAATAACATAAAAATAGATCTGTGACCTCATACATCAATGGTTTATGCTCAAACAACATAAAAATAGATCTGTGACCTCATACATCAATGGTTTATGCTCAGATAACATAATAATAGATCTGTGACCTCATACATCAATGGTTTATGCTCGAATAACATAAAAATAGATCTGTGACCTCATACATCAATGGTTTATGCTCAGATAACATAATAATAGATCTGTGACCTCATACATCAATGGTTTATGCTCAAATAACATAATAATAGATCTGTGACCTCATACATCAATGGGTTATGCTCAAATAACATAAAAATGAATGTAAAATTCATGTTCTGAAATCAAAGTAGATTTTTCTTATAAACTGATTTCCAATAATCATAAACCTCTCATAATGAATTGGAGAATACTGAGACCTTAAAAGATATTGGTTAATATACAAAAGCACCAAGTTCTTTATTCTAACACACTTCATATTATTCTCCTATATAACACATAGGACAGCCATAGTGCATTATTTCAAGATATTATGTACAGCATTACAAAAGAGAATGCTTACATGTCATATGACGTCAGAAATGACATCAATAAACCAACTGATGTCAGAAATATTACCTCTATGCTCAATGTTGTTCAAAAACATTCTATCAATTTTTTTTTTTATTAACATGTTAGATTGGAAATAAAATAGATATTCATTTCCTGAACACTGTAGTATAATAATGCATGGTTTATTGTTCAAATGCTTTGCAATTAATCACTCAAGCCTATCTGCCTTCGTCATTATATTCCTGCACATTTGAACTGGAACCATGCATTATTTTACAACAATACCAGCAAAACTAATATCTATTTCCTGATCTATAAATCATCACAATCATACAGTGATCAATGTTAAAAGATACCTTATCTTGCCATGCTTGACACATCACCCTGAACTCTGTGTCCAGTTCTACTCCGTTGTCAGGTAATACAGTACAACTTCCATGTACAGGACTCTCGTTCACAACAAAACTGCTAACGGCCTCCCCAAAACGTTCACCCTCTGTAAAAAAAAATAAATATACATCACTGTTCAAGGCTGGTTAGATTTGTTTATTAATGCACAAATGGTTGCTTTCATCTCTTATATCCCTTGTGATACAGAAACAGAAAGAAGAACCCAGAAATTGTTCGAAAGCAAGGCGAAACAGGTGCAAATCTATGGCCGAAACAAGCAAAATGGTAAGTAATGGATCAATATTCTTTATAGTAAATCAAATTGTATAATAACTAATAAGTGTCACGAACCTATGTCTGATAATGGTCTAAGTTATCTATTTTACATGGATTTCTTACTACTTATAAATTATTGTTCAGATATGGATTTTACAGTGTGACCTAGAATTTAGACTGAATGACCTCAAATCAAAAAGGCTTATCCATACCAAAGTACATAAACCATGGCTTATACCTTCTCAAGAAATTGATCAGACAAGAATAATAGAATACACATAAGTATGTGTATGTACAGAGGGTCAGACAGACAGACACAGACAGACAGACAGACAGACTCACACTCCCCAATTTTTAACAAATAAACTGCAAATATCCAATATTTTTAAAAACTGACCTTCATCAGTGACCTTGACCTGTAGAAAGTAGGTCAAACCCTGTTTAAGAAATCCTGGCTTTATAACAAGAGACTCTCCGTCCAATCCTGTCCTAGTTTTTTCCTTCGGTAAATAATAACGTATCATCGGCATCTCGAGAATAGATCGCTGTCTCAAATTGTATTTACGACTTCCTTCTAATTTGTCTAAAAATAGACCTGATCCTCCATCTTCGTTTTCTGGCTCTAAAAATAGATACGAGTTAGACAGTGAATACAAATGCAGACAATAGGTTAGAGGAGCAGTCTCAAGGAATTAGAGAATGATTTACCGTAAATAAATAATGTCACATTATATTCTTATCAATTAAGACAAGGTGCTTCATCTTAATATGTCTAAAAGATTTCTATAAATAGATATTAAGAAGCAGAATTTTCAGTCTGATAAACAGAATTACCATATTTGGCAATATGATGTAAAGCTTAAAAGTACACAAATCTGGCGAACAAAAAATAAATGTATCTTTGTAGAGATAAGCATGTCTACCAATCTAATAGTCATAGCAATTTTAATAAAGCAAAGACAGAAACACTCTAACCATTTGGTAATTTTTTTTGTCCTATAAAACTGTCTATTATTAACCACAGGTTATATAACCAGTAACAATTGCTAAGCGTATATATAACCCAACCCTCTAGGGTAAAAGACTCTTTGAAATTAAACAACTAAAGAATGTGGTAAAAATATTACCAAAACAGTTTTGATTCTTGGCAAGCCATTTAACCAAGGTCTTTTTAAAGTTATTTCCATCCTGTAATTATGGCAAAAAACAAGGCATTTTGAAGAACAGCAATGGAAATGAAAGTCAGCTTTTGAACCTTTGACTGACCATGTCCTTTGGAGTAAAATCTGGCTTTTGCGATATAAACATTGTAAGCACACTATATCTTAATGGTTATTACTTGGTTCAAACTCAGAAATTCAGAATCCACTGCAGTCAGGAAGTTATGGGCTATAACATCTGCATTTGGCATATTGTCTCAAGGTGGGGATCATTTAAGGGAGGTTATTTTAAAACTTTCCAAATAATCAGTTATTTAACGGACCTAAAATGTGGACTTTTTAAAAAAACTTTTCATCTGTGAGACCTGGTTCTTGCACAGGCACGAGTATCGGACCTGGGAAGAAAAAATATGACCAGATTGATAAAAAAAAACCTGTGTTCATCTTAAAAGTGTCAAAAAACCAAAAAAATTGTAAATAATGACCCCCTTTAAAAATATGCTATAAGTTAAGAGAAGGCCGGAAACTCCAGATTCGAGCCTACGAGCAAGGGATTCATTTCCCGGGCCGTTGTGAAAACATTTGGCCAGACAATTAAAAAAAACTTTTATCAACTATTCACGTTATACTTAAGCTTCAAAATGAGGACCAACCCAAAGTCTCTAGCCCTTCCCGTTCATGAAATATCTATCAGGAAACGAGCGAATTCGTTGCTAAAAATCCTTGGTAGACAGAATTGCGGCACAACAATTCGTACGTAAACATAGACTAATACATGTATGTCAGCTGAGTATGGGTCAAAATCACTTGAATTTACTAAAATAATATTACTAAATACATTAAGTTGGACCACTCACAACCGTCAGTAGCATCTGATACACACGAGATTCGAGTTTTCAAACATTACACGGTCTTTCAATCCGCTTTATATGCCATTAAGGCATCCTTGTGTGAAACGTTGCGGTTTTCGTTGCTATTGGCCAATTCAGAAGACTCCGTTACAAAATATCGAACAGCTGATTGACAATGGCGTAGAAAGTAATCTAAAGGACCGTTGGAAAGGTTTGAAATTCGAATTTTGGCCGTGTATCAGATGCTACTGACGGTTGTGAGTGGTCCAACTTAATGTATTTAGTAATATTATTTAGTAAATTTCAAGTGATTTTGACCCACATACTCAGCTGACATACATGTATTAGTCTATGTTTACGTACGAATTGTGTGCCCGCATTCTGTCTACCAAGGATTTTTAGCACGAATTCGCTCGTTTCCTGATAGATATTTCATGAACGGAAAGGGCTAGAGACTTGGGGTTGGTCTCATTTTGAAGCTAAGTATAAACGTGAAATAGTGATAAAAGTTTTTTTTTAATTGTCTGGTCAAATGTTTTCACAACGGCCCGGGAAATGAATCCCTTGCTCGTAGGCTCGAATCTGGAGTTTCCGGCCTTCTCTTAACTTACAGTATATTTTTAAAGGGGGTCATTATTTACATTTTTTTTTTTGTTTTTTGACACTTTTAAGATGAACACAGGTTTTTCTTATCAATCTGGTCATATTTTTTCTTCCCAGGTCCGATACTCGTGCCTGTGGGTTCTTGTACTGTTCTTATGATAATAATAACTATTAATGCAAAGTTTTTTAAAAATATTTCAGTAGTACGGACATCGAAATGTTACGGACAGATATCCTATAATCATCACCCAACTTTGTGGCAGGGGATGTAATGGGGTTAAATATAGAGGTCAAGATGCAACATCCCAGTAACTTACCATCTAATGGATTTGGGTAAACCTTTCTTTTTGACCCAGGTTCTTCTACAGGTATATATGCTGAAATATTAACAAATATTGTCAGAAGATCCTCATTTAAAACTAAGTGTCTCACTGCACTCAGTGTTAATTTAAAACACAAACCAGTAGTTTCTCTGGAGTATATAAAAAGAATATTTTAGCAAACATTTTAAGCTACACCAAAACTGTTATGGTCATATGGTGACTTTCAAGCTTTACTAATGGAGGAAGATCTAAGGTGTCCCTTTACAAGTTGGTATGTACCTGAGTAAGACCATCAATTTAAATAAACTAGCTGAACAACTTCTTCACATGAAACAATCTAAAGTCCCTCGTGAAATACAAACCAACACAATGAGCTGATAATATATCAAGAAATAAGTGACCTAAACCACTTGGCTACTGATGCCCTAGCAAGGTTTACTGATTAAAATAACCATCAGATTAAACAATATTTACTGTTTAAAAAAGCATTGCTTATTTCATATCAATTATTTGTAGGTCTTGTGACAAATCATTTTTTTTTTTATTTACATTAATGAGCCATTCAGGAGTAACATTATTTCTAACTAATGATTGCAATTTTAATCACATTTTAATCACATTATGAAGTCACAACTCTCATAATTATTTACACTTACAATATTGTCGTCCACCGGAACTTCCACTTTCACCAGGAGTTCCCTCTTCTGGTGCCTGGAATCTCGTCACACCCCGCCCAATGTTACCACCGCTCTTCTCTTCCACTAAAATCATGGAAAACAATGATGGTAAAGAAAAAAGTAAGTAACAGGATCTCATATATGTTGGGTCTTTTGGTGTTTTTTTTTTTGTTGGTTTCTTTTAAATATTTTTACAAATTTATTTTATTTGTTAACATCTATTATTAGCTGACATCAATGACATTGGTAAAAAAAAAAAGAATCATAATTATGGTAAACTTCCAGCTTTACTAGTGAAGAGCCTCTTTATATTTGTTGAATTTTGGGCAAGCAAATGATTAACACCACTTGTCTTTCTTAACTTTCTACAAACTACAACTGACGGGGCAACAGAGTTACTGTCAGCAATTTTAAACCACTTGACCATGGGGATTAAAATCATCCAGGAGTCCCTTAATGACCCAGTATCAAAATTCCTCTGCATAATGCATTGGACTACTCATCTACTTGGTGTTAATTCTTTTACATCTTTTTCCAGGCAAGCTCCATTCTTATACATAAAGGTAAAGAAATGACCAAGCTTCTTCTAAACATGAATATTTTACTTTGGTTTCATACCAACACAGTATATGTCATATAAGGCAACTTTCCAGCTTCACTGGTGTCCTTCTGTGCATTATTTCAGGTACAAACAGGCACCTGAGTAGAAACACCGACATTCCCTAAGCTGGATAGCTTCTTCACATAAAAGAATCGAAAGTCCCTGGCAAGATTCAAACCTACAAAAGTGAAACATGATGATGACCCCTGAAATTTTCAAACATTCCACAATAGGTAAGAAAGCATCTAGTAAATACGCACCTATATCGAGATTTCTGGACGAAGTCTTCACTCTCCTCTTACTATCTGCTTGTTCCTCCACTCGTGGGTAATCGATATTGTTTATATCTTTCACTGTCGACCGTTGTCGTCTATTTTCAGTGCTGGACTTACCCTCAACAATCTCGACATAGCTTAACACAGAAACTGTGGTTGTCATATCTGAGCTCACTTCTGAACCTGTGTACAATTTAAATTGAATAATGGCAATATTTAAAAGGACGATTATGCCTAAGAAAGGCTAACAATTTCATTTCTCAAAAACTTCTGATTTTTTTTTGTTATCTTATTACAGTTTTCAAAAAAAAAAACTGATCTGCTATATACATGAACATTTTTGCCACTTTTGTTCTCTTGGCACTTGGTTTAATTATAGTGAATAAGTATTTTGTACGGAACTCAAATAATAGTAAATGGTTTTAACTGGTGGAATAACCAAAGAAAGTGAATTTACCTATAGTAAATGGAATAATTTCTTGACCTCCCTGACCTTTGTCATTGTTTTTAGAAAGGTCAGCACCTTGGTCTGTAGGCTCATCGCTGTCAGTGTCATTCTCCAGTACCTGGGCATATGCTCTTCCTTCTTTATCAACACACCTGCAATTATCAGCTAGAATTATAACAGACTTTACCTTAATCAAAACTAGAAAGGGCCATGATGACTCTCAACTGCTCTTCTGATAAAACATCTGATAAAACAGGGAGGTAGTTTATGTAAGGAGATTTATTAAGGGCCATCTAGTGCTTGTGCCCACAAAGTTTAGTGATTGATTAAAAACAATCCAAAGATGCCTATATATAGGAAATAATCAAAAGATGCTATGTCATTATTACGACATCATCATTCAAAGATGCTGTATACGACACCCTTAAGTTCATCATCAAAAGATGCAATATACGACTCCCTTTACGACTTCATCCAAAGATGCAAATACAACACCCTTATGTCATCATCAAAAGATGCGATACACTTCATCCAAAGATGCAATAAATGACATCATCTCAAGTTGCAATATATGACATCATTCAGAGTGATGATCTACTCATAAGAAATTCATAACAAACTAGAAATGTGTCATCATGCCACGGATGCCCCCGCATGCAGCCAAAATTTCAGATGTTATAATATTTAGTTCCAAATTTGTTTGCACAAATTATTTTTTTCATTTGCAGTTCAAAGCCCTTAAAACTTTTCAATGTTAACACAAACCATTTTCATACAATGTTCAAAGCACTGAAATTATTCAGTCTTAACCTTTTGAAATAGCATATTTCATATTTGTAGCCAAAATAATGGCTACATACTTTCCACAAAAAGTATGAGTGCTGAAACTGAAAGTTCAAATTTTTTCCAATATTCAAGAAAGATAAGTTTGTCCAAAATCATTGAACCACGACCAAATTCAAACTTAAACTGCTTATTCCTAAGATGTATCTATATTATTTTCTAAGTGAAAGGGACATAACTCTGCCAAAAAATCATCGAACCATGACCAAATTCCAACTTGACCTGCCCATTCCTTTCACATATCCATATGTCAAATTTGAGTTGAATATGTAACACTGTTGGGTAGATAATGAACAGAAACTGTAAATTTCATATTATTTTCAAAGTAAAAGGGGCATTACTCTGCCAAAAATCATTGAACCATGACCAAATTCGAACTTGGCCTGGGCATTCCAAAAACATATCCATATGTCTAATTTGAGTTGAATGTGTTGTACTGTTGGGGAGATAATAAACAGAAACTGAAATTTCATATTATTTTTCAAAGTGAAAGGGGCATAACTCTGCCAAAAATCATCGAACCATGACCAAATTCGAACTTGACCTGTATTTTCTCAAGACATATCCATATGTCAAATTCGAGTTGAATGTGTTGTACCTTTGGGGAGATAATGAATGGACACTGAAAATTTCATATTATTTTCAAAGTAAAAGGGGCATAACTCTGCCAAAAATCATCGACCCATGACCAAATTTGAACTTGACCTGTATTTTCTCATGACATATCCATATGTCAAGTTTGAGTTGAATGTGTTGTATCGTTCGGGAGATAATGAACGGAAACTGAAAATTTCATATTATTTTCAAAGTAAAAGGGGCATAACTCTGCCAAAAATCATCGAACCATGACCAAATTTGAACTTGACCTGTATTTTCTCATGACATATCCATATGTCAAGTTTGAGTTGAATGTGTTGTATCGTTCGGGAGATAATGAACGGAAACTGAAAATTTCATATTATTTTCGAAGTAAAAGGGGCATAACTCTGCCAAAAATCATCGAACCATGACCAAATTTGAACTTGGCCTGTATTTTCTCATGACATATCCATATGTCAAATATGAGTTGAATGTGTGCAACCGTTACTAAGATAATGAACGGAAACTGATGATGACGGAATGACAGAATGACGGAAGGACGGAAGGACGGAACAGGGTAACACTATATGCCCCGGCCATTACATGGCGGGGGCATAAAAAAGAGTGTCAAGTGTCAGGCAACAAAACAAAAGATAGCTAGATAAATATTTCCTATCCCATCTCTATCTGGAATTAGTCTGTGTCTCCCTTGTAGGGATTTTAAACTTTACACATAAAGGTACCACTTCTAGAAAGCCAAATCATTATCTTGTAAGACCCCCCCCCGACTTTTGACATGACTTTTCAACCCCTAGTGGGTAACACATTTTGACCAATATGTCCATACTAAAAACTGGGGCTCTGGCTTTGATTTGTTGGATTTAAAGTCACAACAATATCGTTAAGATCATATTGTTACTTTCCAGTTTTACTGGTGGAGGAAGACTACAGGTCCTCTAGGCACAAACTGGCACCCTTGTGGGAAGTTAAGAGTAAGTTTCTATGTGGAGATTACAAACTAACACATTTACACAATCATGTAACTCCTACTTACGGCAAATCGTGGGCTCTGGCGTAGTTGTGAATGTTGTAACCAGCCAGGTGTTTGATTGTCCATTCATATTTTACACCTTCGCTCTTACAGTTTGTACACTGCACGTAGAATGACAATTTCCTATCTGCATTCACCGGGTCCGACATACTGTATGGTCGAACTATCTTAACACTACAAATATATAAAATATCACTAGTAACCTTCACTAATTAATTAACATATCTGACATCTTAAAATGAGAAATCTTAAGTTTTCAACATTTTAAGACCCTGATTCATATATGTTTTATTTATTTTTTTTAAATCTCTTTCTGACATTTATCTATCATTATCAATTTCCTCCATTACAATTTGTTAGTTCTGATGATTTTCTTCAACAAATCAAATATTCTTGTCCACATCAATAAGAAGTCAAATATTTTCACGAGTCCTTTTTAATAGTCCAATTGTTAGCCATGACCATATATCACTTTGGAAACCTTTAGCTCTTGTAAAATAGTCACTATGAACAAGATACCTTGTATAGTGATTTAAATTACTGTCTAAAGTACTTTAGTACCGCATATTTCTTGATTTTATTAAACTATTATGAAACTATGGTATAATACTGTTCTTTAATTGGGGAAATAAAGTGTTAGCACCCAGGTAGCTCAGATGGTAGAGCTGTGGTAGAAGTCAGTCCAAAAGGTTTCTGATTCAATTCCCAGTCAGGCTGCAAATATTTTTTCACCCTGACATTGCTGTTTATAATTATATTGCATGTATGTAATGTGGTTTTTCATTGGATAATCCTGATATTTATATAGTTTTATATACATGGCTGCTATCAATTTATGAAGAATTTCTCACTTTTTCCTCTAAAAAAAAAAATTAGAAGTTGGCTGTATTACAAATTTGTTATTAATATTCCTGACAGGTTATATGGCCATATATAAATAGTTGTTTGCAATATAATCATTTATATTGTCCAATGTTATTAATACATTACTCACTTTTGACAGGTTATATGACCATGTTTATATGATTGTTTGCAATATAACACAAACCACAGACCTTATAACCAAAATGTTTATACTGGGTCATATAATCTGTCAGACATCTTTCATTACATTACAATTAATACTGTAATCTTACTTTAATATCTGGGCATTATCTTGCTCCAGTGCAATAATCTGAGAGCTGGTTCCGTTCTGTCGACCATCTGCTGATACCGTCAACTCAAACGTGAAATTTGATGCTGGCACGAGGCAATCACCTAGAAACGACAACACTGCTGTATCCATGGCTACAATGCATGATGCATTATGGGTACTGTTTAACAATGCATCGTGGGTTGAATTAACGAAGCACGATTCTCCGTAGGTACCGTTTTCCATCAGGAAACTACATTTCCAGTGGTACCTAAAATAGATAATATAACTAATGAGAAGTCATTGAAACGAACAAACAAAACAACAATCCTTTTCGAAGACTTTTTTTATTTTTTATTTTTATGATGGATTGCACAATAACATCTCAGCAAAATAAATTATCTAGAAATATTAAAATGTTATCAAAATCAGATATGACATAACTTTTTCCTTTCAGAGGCACGCAATTTAACCATTTTCTCTGAATTAATAGCGCAAAAAAATGAGTAGCATAACCAACTATGAAATCTATTGACTAAACTCATTACAGACTCGTTTTTACACCTTACATTAGCACAATTATTTTTACGCACAATTATTTTTACGCACTGATGATGTAGTACAATTCTATTCCTGTTTTCTGAAAACGTTATCCCTCTTTTATGATCGAATGATTTTGGAGTTTTTTTTGCACATGTAATAACGCATATAATTTTCTGTTCCCCCCCCCCCCTTAAAATCCTCAAATCCTCAAACAATGATCAAATGATTTTTGGCTTTTTTGCACATGTGTAATAATGCCTCTTATTTTTTTGTTGTTGTTTTTTTTTATCTTAAAATTATAAAATAAAATTCTCAAACTTAATAAAATGGTAGAATTTAATGTATTTTTTCAAGACCGTTATAGGAAAAAAATGAAAAATAAAAATAAAATTAAAAAAAAAAAAATTAATCCAAAACATAGCTGTAATAAAAGTGTCATCATAATTTTTTTCTTTGTCATTATCTTAAAACATATAATTTTCAAATCCAAAGAGATATAAAAAGAAACTAATATTCTTTATTCCAGTCTGAAAAGCAGGACACATATAGAGAAAAATAACAAAAAACAACTTTGTCAAAATAACTTAATCTAGTTATTAAATACAAGTTTTGCTAAAAAAAAAGAGTTGAAGATCTTTATTATAATAAATTAATAACCAAAAAAACTTCAAGTCCTGGGAAAATTTCTACGGAAACAATCTCTTAATGCATGTTTGATCGGTGCTTCTAGTCCACTGAAAAATATCTGCAAGCAAATGCATGCCAAGAAATTAAAATATTTCAACAATGTGACTCATCCAAATATAATATATACTTTAGGAAATCATGACTTAAATTTTGTCCTATGCCTCTGTATAAAGCCAGCAGACCAGATTTAACAAGAACTGTCAGCAGGACAGCATGCTGAACTGTTCTCCGTGCTTGATAGAAAAACTAGAACTCCGCAAGTCACATGTGTCTCCAGGTTAACAGTATAGCTGTCACTTAGGCATTTTCTTTTTAAATATAAGTTATTTATAAACACTGCTCCTACAATGTACATGTACCTTTAACTTTAGTGGCATTTGAACTGAGTGTAACAATGCTACATAAGGATCAATAAAATTGTTATATCGGTATTATCAAAAATAAAAATAGCATGTCATCACAGTTTTACAATGACAGATCAAATGGAGGACTCTGTGATGGATTCTTAAGCGTCTGCACTTCAGATCAATGGAAAAAGCTTACATACGAAATTTGGAGTCAATCAAACTTAAAGTGACCAAGTTAATACTCTGGACAAACCTATTAAGTAAGAAAATCCCCAATGAATGTGATGCAATGAAGCCAGGATTCAATCACTTGAAATGACCAGTTACCTTTTAAGTATTGTCGAGAGGCCTCAAGTTTACACCCAAGTGTTTTGTTTTTTAGTTCTATAATATCTTGACCAACAGTCTAGAAGTTGTACAATGTATTTCCAGATTATTTATTTTTGGAGGAAGGCCGAGAATATGTCTCTTTGTTATGCCTGAATCTTAAGTAGAACCACAAACCTTAACTAAGCTGGCTGGAAAGCTCCCAACAAAGTTTTTAGGGTAGGCATATAACCCAAAGGTTGGAAATCGGCAATAATTACCAAGACAACACTCCCCATGATGTGTAGATACTTTCAAAATATTGTTAACCAGTAAATTATTGACACTAGAAGTGATTAGCTTAACCAACTGGCCAAATTTCAAATCAGAGCATAAGCATTTTAAGCAGATGAAGGTTTTAAGCAAGCTACTGTTAATATGATACCTCATGTACACATTTTTTATTTTGTGAAAAAAAACAACAACTGTGCAACAGAAAAAGCAACAAAACAACAATATACATAAACTTTCCAAAAAGCGTTACCTTAACTGGTTATTATGTAAATGATCTGGATCAAAAGAGCCAGACCCGTCGATGACAATTTCACCGTCACTTCTGATACGTCGGAACACGCCACCATGTATTTTACTGACCAGTGGACTGGGGATTACTTCTACTACCCTTGTAGCCTTGCCATACACTATGGTACCCAGCATCTCAACCTGTAACACAAGAATATTGGGAACACCCATGGATGATTCTCGATTTTTTTTTTTCAGTGCACCAACATAGATTAGGTCATATGGCGCTGTAACAGGAAAGATCATTTTAGCTAACCACGGGTGTTACAAACTTATAGTAACACCAGGGGTCAAAACCACTTCACCTGCTGGAGCTAATAGATGCACAGACTCAATAATTTCAAAACCATTTAGTCACCTCTGATAATTATAGAAGGTTAAACATTGGCTGCAATTCTAATGCCTCAACCGTAGACAACTCCTCCACCTCAAGGCATGATTCTGGAAGGTGCCCTCACAAAGCCAACAACATGGAATTGCCTTACTAGGAAGAAAAGTCTCAAAAATCTATTCTTAGCCTCAACAATTACCAGAGTCAGTAACCATGTTTATAGTATGAAACTAATACCATGACTAATTTTCATAATCTGATTATTATTTCAAAATTCTATTGGTAAAATTATAGGGCCATGCCCAGCTCAAACTTTCTATCAATTTAAGTAAGAAAGAAAAAGTATTGCAAATTTGAATATGTTAAAAGTACACTACTAGTAACAGTATAAAAGCATGCATTTTTCAACCTTACCTTGAACTTTACAGTATGTTTCCCATATTTTAACAACCTAGGAGGTAAGACCAACACACGATTCATCATTTCTACATTATACATGGTCACATGATCATCTATTGACCAATGGTAAGCCACGGCTGAAGTTAGATTACAATCCATGGTAACATCAGCCTCCAGAGTAAAATATCTCGAGTGTACTATCTCAATCTATAAATAGATAAATTATCTCAATTCAAAAATAGATAAATACTATCAAATGAACTATCTCAATCTATAAATTGATAAATTATCTCAAATGAACTATCTAGATCTATAAATAGATTAATTATATCAAATGAACTATCTCAATCTATAAATAGATAAATTATCTCAAATGAACTATCTCAATCTATAAATAGATAAATTATATCAAATGAACTATCTCAATCTATAAATAGATAAATTATATCAAATACACTATCTCAATCTATAAATAGATAAATTCTCTCAAATGAACTATCTCAATCTATAAATAAATAAGTACTATCAATTGAACTATCTTAATCTATAAATAGATAAATTATATCAAATTTACTATCTCAAAATTTACTATCTCAATCTATAGATGGAAACAAATGATCAAATTACTTATTTTATATCACTAAGTAAATATAAATACTTTTTACATTGTAACAGGCATATAAAGCCTAAAATAGGAAAATGATTTCCCCTCCATAGAAAATGCAAACCTGTTTCATGTTTTAATAATTGACTTACAGCAAGTCAGATGGTTGTTTTTTCGGGGGTTTATTTTTGTTTTGGTTGGGTTTTCAGTCGCACCAACACAGTGTATATCATTGCAAGCTTCCAGCTTTTTTGGTGGAGGGAGACTTCGGGTGCCCTTGCATGCATTATTTGAGGCATAAAGTGACGTCTGTGTAGAACCACCAATGTTCAGTTAGCTAGCTGTATAGCTTATCATGTGACGTAAGCAATGTGTTAAATGCTTTTGTTAAATAGTTTGTCATCAAAATAGCAAACACATAAACAAAATGGTACAGTCAACTATCGTTATCTCGACATCGCTTTTCTCGATATTTCGTTATCTCGATGAAATTTTGAAAGTCCCGATTTTCTTCCTTCTTTATCTTTATTGGAAATATTTGTTTATCTCGATATTTTTATTTCGATATTTTCAGTATCTCGATGTAAAATTTCAGCTCAAACAGTTTTTTTCACACTATTATCCTTTGTTTATCTCGACTAATATTTTCTTTCGTCTGTTCCCTTCAGACGTGTGAAAAACACAATCTAGACGATAATTGCTTAATTAATAGCGCATGTCATAATGACAATTATGTTCGTAACAAGTTAAGCTGTTTTTATAAAAAGTAATCTATTTAGCGTGTTGATTGACTTATGTCCAAAATGAATGGATTTTACATTCTTTTTAAATATTCGAACACTGTATCAATTCATTATGACTTTAAATGTAAATGAAATAGTGAAAGTATAGTGAAAGTATAGAAACGCTATCGTTGCAATATTGTTTCACAACATCACCACCAAATCAATCAGTGGTCGAACAATCTCGAGAAAGACCCGATAAATAACCCGGGAGGATATCCGAATCAACCATATCCGATTCACTATATTAGTGTATTACTGAGTAAACCTCACTATGTGTTTTTATCACGGACACCCGTATTCCCGCTGGTAAACAAACGCTAATGTTACTTTGTTAAATATTGACTAGGCCTATGAAAACAAGACATAGGGATATTAAAGTTTATTTGACATAAGGTATGCACATGTCTTTTGTAAAAATCAGTTTCGCCTTGTTCTAACCCTAATATGTTTATCTCGACATTTCGTTATCTCGATATTTTTTGGACGGTCCCAATGACTTTGAGATAACGAGAGTCGACTGTATTTAACTTTCACTTTACTACTGGAGTTACAATCTGCAATGGGACTTCAACTGGACTCTTTCAAGAGGGTAAGCTTTCCAGCAGCCTTATGAACATTACTAACTTACTAAACTTTATTGCATCTTTCATTTTGAACTTTGCACAAAAATTTTACAAGAATGATATGACCAATAAACACTAAGATAACATACATGTTCTGTATTAGCAACAATGGTGACTTTAGGCTCCTCACAATAAGACTTGTTCAGTATAAACAACATTTTATATACTGTCACTGAGCTGACAGGATTCTCTGCTAAAACTGTGATATTGTACGCTCCTTCCCTGAAATATAAAGAAAGGAAAATTTTGCTCTTGTAGAGTGATATATGATTTATATTTCACAATAAAATAATCATTATAAACAACAATGTGCAGGCTATATGAAAAATGAAAATTTTCACATCATAAATTATGTGGAATATTTCAATACATTTCATAGATTGATATCAAGAGAAAAACGGTTCTCACCAATTAATGATATACAATTAGTCATACATATAATATTTTACTGTGTATTTCATTATCAAGAAATAACAATTATAGATCATATTATATGTAAATCAATACCATTTGAGGACTACCATAGAATATAGTACAACTAAACTTTCTGGCAGACTGTAATACTCGTATGTTAACTTGACTTGTTTAATCTATCAAACAATAGTCCAAAGACACCCGTAAAAGTCTAATACTGAATAACTAACCATTTTCATCAACATTACATTACAAGACACTCAGTTTGACATACTCACAGTTTGACATACACAAAGTTTGACCTACACACAGTTTGACATACACAAAGTTTGACATACACACAGTTTGACATACTCACAGTTTAACATACACAAAGTTTGACATACACACAATTTGACACACACAGTTTGACATACACAAAGTTTGACATACACACAGTTTGACATACACACAGTTTGACCTAAACACAGTATGACCTAAACACAGTTTGACCTACACAAAGTTTGACATAGACATACAGTTTGACATACACAAAGTTTGACATACACAAAGTTTGACATACACACAGTTTGACCTAAACACAGTATGACCTAAACACAGTTTGACCTACACAAAGTTTGACATAGACATACAGTTTGACATACACACAGTTTGACCTAATCACAGTTTGACATACACAAAGTTTGACATACACAAAGTTTGACATACACATAGTTTGACATACACACTCAGTTTGACATACACAAAAAAAGAGGGTTTATTATTGAAATTAAATGCTATTATCTGCTAGTAATTCTAGCACATTTAATAACTTGCTTGAAAAAAAAATTACAAAAAAGATCTTTCCAATACATTAAGCTTCTATAGAAATCTAAACTAAAGCACCAGAAATTGTTTTTTTATCCAAAGAAACAAAATTTGAATTACCTGATAAACGTATGTTTTACTTCCAGAGAATTGGATACATGCATATTAGTTATAATAGGGTCACTTTCATCGCCAAAATCCCATTTCAGAGTTACATTAGTACCATCGTATTTGTGAAACTTGATTTTGATTGGTTGATTCACTAGTAGGTTCACTTTGTTACTAGAAATGTAGATTTCTGGCAGGAGAATCGGTAAGTAGACGTACAATTCCACAGAAACCGAGGTAGCATTACTGATTGCATTTAGTGCTGTAACTGTAGCTGTACACCTGAAAAAAAAAATCATATTTTCATTTCACTAATTTTTGTTTGAGTATAACCTGAAATGTTTGATTTTTGCATTATATTAACATCAGATTTCTGAATTAATTTCTTTCGCATTAGATTTACTCCTGAGATTTTTCAACTTGTATAAGACTAGTGCCTGAAATATTTTAATTTGCATAAAATCAACACTGATACTATGCTTTATTTTTGACTCCTCCCAATTATATCTGATGCAAAAATTATTGTTTGAATTTTAAAAAAGTATACTTCCAAAATGCTTGTATGACATAAATATGGTATTCTATTGTCTTAAAAGTGAATGGCGTACTAACAAAATCATTGCTAAATTGATAACACTCTACGTGAAATAGCAAAATAATATTTTGTTTTGGAACCTTTTATTATGTTTACCTAGTTTATTCATGTGTACAAAAAAAAACAGAGACAATCTATATTACAACCTTTTTGGGAATCAACCATTTAATAAAGGAAGAAATAAAATTTACTGTTGATGAATTTCATTAAAATATTTCATAAGATATAGATTTATACCCTTTTAACAATCCAGTTACACAGAGTCATCTGTGATTGATCAGTAGTTTTTTAGCCAAATTATGGAGTGAACCGATGACAACGTATTACCAATTGGGATATTTAAACATGTTTAAAATTCTCGATCGGTGAAAATATTTTACAAATAATCGACACCAACCTATATCACAAGATATGCAAGCTCTTAATCACCGATATCGCTGATCGAACAAAGATAACTGAATATGAATCACCGGTCATATCTGACGGAAAGTGTTTAACCACTGATGACTAGCTATCAAACACTGATTTATCACCGATTTAGCTCTGATTAACACCGATTAAAAAACGATAAAAACTATATTTCAGCATTTTTATCACCGATCAAACCCTGTTTGAGTTTGCTTTCTGTCACCGATGGCCGTTTACACAGAAAACCAGAAATGAAATCACACATGACAACCGATCATAACAGCGAGTAAATTTAAAATTAAATGACCGATTGGGGACTGACCGTCTGTGTAACTGGCCCTTTACAACATGTTAACTGATACTTACTCGCCAATTACATGAAACGTATGTTGTACAGCATTTTGTTTCGAGCTGTATTTCTTAATTCCACCTATAATATACCGCCCCTGGATCATTGTCGGTGACTTGAATGTCCAGTAATAACTGGTGGCTATATGGGGAATATCCGGTCTCACTACTGCAGTATATATCATTGTTTGTTTTAATGATAAGACGTTACTATCCACCAATAATTCCACACCTGAAATAAAACAAGGGTGACTTGTGACAATTTTGTTGTCAATTCATCTACAATAAACTTTCTTTACTTATTAGGGAGACGATAACACTACTCTGACATATACTTGAAAGTTATTTAACTTTGCCATAAGTAAATTTAATTTTTTTACTTTTTCCATGAAATCATAGGTAGACTCTATGCAACAAATACACACTTGGAAAATAGATCACTAAATTTATAACATAAAAGTGTCGGCCTCAGTGAATATCACATTTCCAAGGTCCATAGATAGAGGATATTGAACGAGTATAAGTTCAATACTGAATTTATTGCACTAGCCTCTGGCTAGCATAATATTATTTTATTCAATGAGTGCAATAAATTCAGTATTGAACTTACACGAATTTAATATTCTGTTCATCACATTCCCAAAATAAAAACCGTTTAAAGTGAAATAAGAGTCATTTTTCATTGAAGCACCCATAGTAAAACGTTAACATTTAGCGCGTCTTTACACTATGTTTGTACAACGCTAATGACGTCACGTCAAAATATATACACAGCCATGCAATATCATTTTTACAGTCGCAAAATCGGCACGGGTTAGTGATAAACTTGGATATTCACCTCATAACCATACAATAATTGTATATTGTTACCTTAGTGTAGTAACGGGTTAAATCCTCATATAATTTAATAGGAGATAACCTGTAACTGCACTAATGTGACAATATTATGATTCAGCTAGTGAGTACTGTTTATAAGACATTATGTTTATAAAATGAGACATTAGTTAAAACACTGTTGACCATGAATCATTTTAAACCAAATTTTGTTAAATCATTTTTTAACCCAAATTCGCTACAATTTTTTTCCATTCAAATCAAAACATATTTATTTTATCTCCTAGTATCTTTTTTTGCTGCCATTCCTCATTGGCAAATTAAATATACTTCATACAAATTGCGCGGCAAACTTGATTGAAATATTGACATCTTCAATTTCAGCCTCAAGTTTGATTAAATTCTCGCAAAAGCTTCTATTCAGAATCAGCATAATTGAATACTGAACTTTGAAAATTTATTAATGCTGGGGAAATATATTAAATTTGTGTGATTTTCAAACAGATTATAATAAAAAAAATTATAGGACAATAAATAGTTGGGTTTTTTTTGTTTGTTTTTTTTTTCAACTAAATAGTTTGAAATGACATTTCTTTGTAAATACAGTAAAAACATTTTCTGAAAACCACTGACTTAAAAACCAGTGTTAAATTTTTTCTGATTTTTTTATCTTTATTTTTATATTTTCATAATTGAACAGATTAAACAAATTTTAGATTAAGAATGACAGCCATGATAATGATTTAAGAAATAACATTAAAACCATTTCTGAAAACCAGGCAAAGTTAAGCTTGATCTTTTTGTCCAATGAACAAGAATTTATTATTAACATTATGATTTTAGAACAAAATTACTTTTCTAAAACCACTCCCAAAGTAAAATCACTCTTTTAAATGTTTGTTTGTTTTTTTCTGTGTTTTTCCCCATATTTTAACCAAATAATGATAGGTATGCATGTCATTTACTTTTTGATGAATGTACATGTACAGTTTTTCATATATTTTCTTCAACAACTATTTATCTATGACCATATCTAAGAATGAATATACATATTAATTCATCTTGCATTATTACATAATAATGCACTGGTTATATTCCAGATGCTCATAAAATTATTCAAGCCTATAGCCTCTGACCTATGGTATCCATCTTCAAGCCTTTGGCCTCTGACCTATGGTCTCTGTGTTCAAGCCTTGGGCCTCTGACCTATGGTCTCCTTGTTCAAGCCTATGGCCTCTTACCTATGGTCTCTGTGTTCAAGCCTTTGGCCTCTGACCTATGGTATCCATGTTCAAGCCTTTGGCCTCTGACCTACGGTATCCATGTTCCAGCCTTTGGCCTCTGACCTATGGTCTCTGAGTTCTAGCCTTTGCCTCTGACCTATGGTCTCTGTGTTCAAGCCTTTGGCCTCTGACCTATGGTATCCATCTTCAAGCCTTTGGCCTCTGACCTATGGTCTCTGTGTTCTAGCCTTTGGCCTCTGACCTATGGTCTCTGTGTTCAAGCCTTTGGCCTCTGACCTATGGTCTCTGTGTTCAAGCCTATGGCCTCTGACCTATGGTCCCTGTGTTCAAGCCTATGGCCTCTGACCTATGGTATCCATCTTCAAGCCTTTGGCCTCTGACCTATGGTCTCTGTGTTCAAGCCTATGATGGCCTCTGACCTATGGTATCCATGTTCAAGCCTTTGGCCTTCGACCTATGGTCTCAGTGTTCAAGCCTATGGCCTCTGACCTATGGTATCAATCTTCAAGCCTATGGCCTCTGACCTATGGTCTCTGTGTTCAAGCCAATGACCAATGGTATCCATCTTCAAGTCTTTGGCCTCTGACCTATGGTCTCTGTGTTCAAGCCTATGACCTATGGTATCCATGTTCAAGCCTTTGGCCTTCGACCTATGGTCTCTTGTGTTCAAGCCTATGACCTATGGTACCCATGTTTAAGCCTTTGGCCTCCGACCTATGGTCTCTTGTGTTCAAGCCTATGACCTACAACCTATGGTCTCCGTGTTCAGACCTATAGTCTCTGTGTTCAACTATGGTCTGTGTTCAGACCTATGATCTCTGTGTTCAAGCCTATGATCTTCGTGACTGATTTTGCACATCTGAACTAAACCATGCATTATTATATGCCAACACACTCAAATTTATATGGCTTCTTCGCAAAGAGATTTTATTAATTTAGAAGCATACACAGAGCTGTAGAAACAATTATCTTTGTCTTTAAGGCAAAACTTTAGTTAAATTAATCTCTCATAAACAATAACCATAAGACGAGGGCTAATTCATCTTTATTGACAATAGGAAATGCAGAGAATTTTACAACGCAATTCAAATTGTCTTGCACTCTTAGCTTAAACTTTTGCATTGTCACTGAAAATCTGCAGTCAAATATGAGATTTTGCATAGCGATTTATTTGTTGAAACCATTATGTCAATTTTGTAACATGTTTTTGTACCTTTATCTAAATTCTGGGACTTTCATAATATAAATTTTGTACTATTATTTTCATTTTGCAACATAATTTTCGTTTGCATGATTGGTTTGGTTTTGTGACATTATTTCACATTTTTCAATCATTATCAATATTTTGTCTCATAAATAGAATGATTTTTCATCATTATTACGACTTTGCAATATTATCAAGATTTTGTACAATTATTAAGATTTTATACCATTACTTAATGTTTGTACAATTATTCAATCTTTGTAGCATTATCTCGAGTTTGTACTAAGACTTTATACAATATTTTAGATTTTGTACAATTTTTTAAATTTTGTACTTCATTATCTTATTAAGATTGTACCATTATTTCCCTAAAACCCCATTGTACGACTATTTAGATTCTGTAACATGATTTTTGTACCATGATTTAGATTTTTGTACAATTATTTGTACCAATCTTCTAATGCTTTGCAAATATCACTCTTAAGAAACAAATGAGCCACGTCACGACAAAATCCCATTATGTTGATTTTGATGTTACATGTTATGAAAAATGTTACACTTTCATTACTTTCATTTAAAATTTCCTATTGATAAAATAATAACACTTTAAATGGAATTTTAATCTAATTTTGCTGATTGGCACTGACAAAGACATGCATGCCAATGATATTTTTCATTTTTTCTTTGGGTGTGGTGGGGGGTGGTGGAGGAGTTGTATTTGTTTCGTTCAAAAGTACACATCAAAAACATTCATAAGAATACAGACTTAATTAACCAGATTTAATGGTTACTCATTTTTTACCCATCAAAATTAACTCTCCTTTGAAAAGCTCTAGAATTTTTAGTAGATACAAAAATCTACCCCTGCTCTAAGTAATGCTAAGAGTTTCAGTTCCTCTTTTAAACATTAGAAATTAAAATGCTTAACAGATTTAGAGCTTTGGGCACTGCTGTTAAAAACTAGTATCAATCAATTTCAGTGTAACTGATTTATTACATTATGATGTTTGTGCATATAATGCTGTGTGTATGTTAACTGTTTAAATATTGTAATTATGTTATGTGCATCAGCTGAGGCCGGCAAGACTCGTTAAATAAGGGCATTATTTATTAACTAACTTACTAATCACTATAAATCTAGCATTCTTCATTCTAACACTGTTCCTCATTAAAAACAACACTAAGCCTTTAAGTTATTACACAACATATACATTGAATTAAAGGTATGTTGTAAGAAAACCACAAGATGTATAGAAATGAGCCGTGTCACGACAAAACCAACATAATGTGTTTGCGACCAGCATGGATCCAGACCGGCCTGCGCATCCCCGCAGTCTTATCAGGATCGATGCTGTTCGCTGTCAGTTTCTCCACTTGTAATAGAGTTGGTAAGCGAACAGCATGGATCCTGATCAGACTGCGCGGATCCATGCTGGTCACAAACCCACTATGTTGGTTTTGTCGTGATGCGGCTCAAATTATTTCCCAGCTGAATTTTGTTAAACATATTTACAATCATTATTTTTTTATATGCAAAGTAGACTAAACTAGACATTTTTTTTGCATTACCATACAAATTTGCACTGTTTTAGTTTAGATGCTTTGTAATTAACTGCTCTGGACAGGTGCATCACTTTCTTGATTACAAAGCTCCTGATCTACTTCAGTACCATAATCAACATGGTATAGACATTTTTTTTCACTAAAGAACAGTTTGAAAAAGCCACATTACCTTGAATTTTATAGTTGATGAAGACTTTAACAGCTCTGGTTAAAGTTCGAACCTTGTTGTATGCCGTAACGTAGACAGTCTTCACACCTGGTGTCATATACTGGTGCTGCACAACAGATCCTGGAATATATATATATATAATACATAAATAAGTACTGTAAAACCTATTCAATTTTTTTTTCTGGTTGGGTTTCAAGTTGCACAAACACAAAGTAGGTCATATGCGATTTTCCAGCTTTACTAGTGGAGGAAGACCTTAGGTAACCCATTGCGGATTATTTCAGGCACCAACAGGCACCTGAGTAGAACCACTGACTTTTCGTAAGCTAGTTGGATAGCTTCCTCACATGAAAGAGGCTTAAGTCCCTGGCAGAATTTGAACCTTTAGCGGAAATGAGCCAGTGGTTTGAAGTTGACAACTTTAACCACTTGGACACATACACCCCACCAAATCAATATATGCCATGTAAAAATGATGTTAATTCATGAATATGATATTTTCTTTTACTGTTTTGATATCCCCCTTAAAATTCAAGACATTTGAAATGCAAAATACATAAGACCATGATTCAATCAATATTCGTACAAGTATTTATCACTCTTGATTGTAACTATTTTACAACATATTTAATGTATTTCCACATGTTAAAATCTCTGTTGAAGAAAATTTGCAGATCCATAAAATTTAAAATCAACTTTGCATTCAAGCATAACAGACATCTAATGATCAAAACGGTTGTTTTAAAAATTAACAAAAAACATAAAGTCTACGCAAAGGGGTGCTCTTTTAATACAGGTTCAACCAAAACTAACGTAATTTTTATAATGTTTATCAATTTTGAACTTTACCTTTATTCACAAGATCTGTCTGATCCCCAAGCTTCCAATCAAACTTGACCTCATTCCCAGACACGACCTTCGCAACCATAGTAACGACCTCACCGACTTCGCCCGTATATCTCGCTATCCTTTCATTGTTTGCTTCATCACAAAAGTGAAGGTCTTTCGGCGGCTCCTGGACCCAGAATGAATGCGGCAGCCACGCTGTCTCGTTACCAAGGGGATTAACGGCTGTCACCTTGACCTTGAATTCACCCACTGTAACACATTTTGGTTGTCAGTCAGGAACATTTGTTAGGTAATAAATTTTAATTATACTTTCAGAGCTCAACAATTCATTTCAATCAGAACTTGTAACAGAATCAAATGAAATTACAGCTTTAGAATTTAATTAAACAGACTGCCTTTTCTATGAACACTGATTAAGTTTTCCTAATGGGAAGCGCGCAAATACAAAATTCTCGAATGATGAACATGTATGGGCATGCATTTGAATAATACGACTTCACTGCTTTCAACATTAAATTTGATATTCTTACTTTTTTTCCCTCTCTCTCATTTTAAAGAATAAAAAAAAACAGAAATTATGACAGATTTGCGCCATTGCCCACCGTATCATTTGACTTCATTACAATAATGGACACGTAAAAACAATGCCTATTTTCATTTCTGCATTTTCAATCCTTGTGAACAGAGAAATTGTAGCTTTTAACACTGGCCATTATGAACAAAAACTCTTGAGCATTGAAAACTTTTACATTAAAATCTTAATCATGTTTCAGTTTGACACCACAGAAACTGTTAATGAGCAGATCAAAATCACAAATGATCAAATTATAGGAGTACCTGTTGAATAGGAGTGCCGTCCTTCCGCAAAAATAGTCATGTCTTTGTTCCATGGCGACAGCTCAGTTCCCTGCACTTTTTCTGTGGTACCATCTCCGTAATCAAACACAAATACAACATGGGAACCAGACAATCTGTTAATAAACAAGTGGTACATAAAGTAAAAAAATCTTGTTACATTCAACACATTTACTGGAACAGATTTTTCATATTTCAATATTTCATATATTAAGTGACCTTGTGCCATATTAATGGTAATGGCACCAAAAAAGCAGTCCTATGATAGAACTGAAAGTGCTTTGTCTAAGGCGGCAGAACTTGATGAGTCTAGGTCTGGTTGTAAATATAACAGGCAGTGTTATAAATCATACCTAATTGTAAATATAACAGGCAATGTTGTGTTGTGTAACACACTAACCTGTAAATATAGCAGGCAATGTTGTGTTGTGCATCATACCTAGCAGTAAATATAACAGTCAATGCTGTGTTGTGTATCTCACCTAGCAGTAAATATAACAGTCAATGTTGTGTTGTGTATCTCACCTAGCAGTAAATATAGCAGGCAATGTTGTGTATCATACCTAGCAGTAAATATAGCAGGCAATGTTGTGTTGTGTATCTCACCTAGCAGTAAATATAACAGTCAATGTTGTGTTGTGTATCTCACCTAGCAGTAAATATAACAGGCAATGTTGTGTTGTGTATCATACCTAGCAGTAAATATAGCAGGCAATGTTGTGTTGTGTATCTCACCTAGCAGTAAATATAACAGTCAATGTTGTGTTGTGTATCTCACCTAGCAGTAAATATAGCAGGCAATGTTGTGTTGTGCATCATACCTAGCAGTAAATATAGCAGGCAATGTTGTGTTGTGTATCACACCTAGCTGTAAATATAACAGTTAATGTTGTGTTGTATATCATACAGTTCAGAAAATATAACAGGTACTTTGGCATCACACCTAGTTGTAAATATAACAGGCAATGTTGAGTTGTGTAACCTACCTAGCTGTAAATATTACAGGCAATGTTGTGTTGTGCTCTAAAGCTGATGAGTTACTGCTAGCAGACAATTCAACCGTATCAATTGGATCTACAACAAGAAAACATCTATCTAGCTTGGCGTATACCCCTGGTGGCGGATAATTATGTCCCGTCACATTGAATGTCACACAATACTCCCCTGACATTCCATAGAAATGTTTCGCTACAGACGTCTGGTTAGGAAAGCTAAAATAACAAAAATAATAGAACTATAAATGAAAAAAAATAATTAAATAAAATTCAATATATTTTGTTATTCAATGGTTCTATTACTTTTTGTTGGGAAAATATTTAATCAAAATCCATTTTCGAAAAAAAATAATTAAGTCATAAATAAAATGTGCTAATAATAATTCAAAACTTGTGTGTTTATATAAATCAATGTTAAGTTAAATATATTAATTAAGGTAAAATTTATTATATTAAAAACCATCATAAACTATATATGCATTAATAAGTTATAAATACAGTTAAACTTTGCATTTTGATAATATGGTAAACTATCTAGGAAGGGCCATAACTCTTATCAGAAAGTTTAGAATTTTAAATGATTATCTGTAAATAGGCACATACAATATTAGTGATATAATTACAATAAGAGCTACTTAAGCAGACTTATGTTTATGAAATAATAATAATAAATCTAGAATATGCCAGAGAGATATCTTTGTAATCAAGCTGGTGTAAAACACAGAGAAAAGTTGAAGAAAGTTTTATTTTGAAAGCCCAGAACTTCTGTGGATATCACACATTTCCCCATCTGTCCTGCTATACTTTGAATGCAGCTTATGAAATTGGTGAAAGAAGTTTACAAGGAAATAAAGCTTTTATGTATAAATGTATAAATGATTTTATGTTTGCTTCAAACTAAGTTAAATGAATATGAACTAATGAAAATAATTTCTGATTATAACTTTCCTGTATGTTGACGTAGAAGAATATACATGTCCAAACTTACCTAATGACTGAATTCTCATAAGTTCTCTCATCTGAGAAATTCCAAGTGAAGGTCAAATCTCGTCCTCCAGTAACAACAGCCTTAGCAACCACATGACCTGTACTTCTGATAACCCATGGTGACCTAGTTGTCACGGTGATGTCCTCAATGGGTATAAATAACTCGGTTGTAAATATTGATGATACTTGATTTGATACATTTACTGTAATATTATACTCTCCTAGTGTTTCGTATACATGCGCCAGGTAAACTAGAATATGCGTGTCATTGGTTACCATGGCAACAGGGTCAGTTTCACTGAAATTTTCACTTTCCCCATCCCCGTAGTCAATTTCCACCCCAAAATCATGGTAACCATTAACGGAGACAATTATTTGTGTAGCTTTTCCGAGCAGGTTGCCAATAATCTTTAAGTCCACCTCTTCAATGACACTCTGAACAAGGACAGGAAGTGTGGCAGACAACGGTTGCCTAGCAACATCATTAAACGCTTCCACTCTCACAGTGTAAAGCCCAGGACTTGGTATCTGAATTTCATACTGAAAACAGATAAGAAAAATACCAGATGAATTAATAATGCAAAATAAACACAATAATATCTGACAAGTTCTATTTAATTCAAGGATACATGTCAATTGGACATTAAAATTTGAAATTTTAAAACTTTTAAGAAAATAATTCAAATTTCCATTTATAACATATTCCTACCACTGAGAGACAGTTTTTGATTGACATTTTTGTCAATTAATGTCAACTTTCTCCCTGGTCAGTAAATAATGGAGTTACACATTAAACCTAACTGCACCAGTATTTACCATTTACTTGAAATATAATTTCTTTTTTCCCAGTTACCCTCTTGAGATTAGTGACTTTAACATCATTATTATTACCATTACTTCCATCCATCAGCTATTTTTACAATAAAACAAGCTTTCATCCAAACATAAACATTTGACAAAACATCAGTGTAATTTAAGATAATTTGAGTTCTACGTTACAAAAAAAGGACAAAACAAGGACAGAAATTGTTTTCTGCGGAAAATTTGCATGAATGTTCATGTGAACAAAAGCAAACATTCTAACAAAAAGTTTTCATCAGAAAGCAGTGTAATTTTTTAAGTCTTTGGCCATCTTAATATTGTACAAAATACTTGTACAGCTTTGAGTTCAGATTTGTGCATTGTTGGCATTTGAAATCCAAAAATTTCAGCACCACACTGGAAACAGAATTGAGCTGTGTCAAACTGTTTGGGCGTGCTGGCTGACAATTTGCTCTTGCATTTGTACCCTAAATTGCTCTTGTATTTGTACCCTATTACTTTCAAAACAATTGCGTATACTCATATACCCTGTAATCATGTATTTTTAATGCAGATACAAACCATGCACCTTTTCAACCTTTTCAGTAAAATCACAAAAAACAACATAATATTACATTAATGCAAATGGGCCTATATGAAAATAATCAGGCATTAAAGGTAGAACATTAATTAATCAGACACATCAATAACTCATGTTCACATCAAAGCTACTTCTAACAGAAAGTAGTTCCTTTGATTCGCATTAACAAACCCTACATTTCTAAGTATCTTCCTACCATTTTCGCCAAGCACCCGTGCATTTCTAGCACTCAGCGGCAGAATCAAATCAAGCCTAATTGAAGTGCCTGCATGGAAAATACTGGAAATGATCAGCTATCAATTACAGGAAACAAGAGAAGTTAGTTTGATTGCCAGCTTCAAAACTATTTTTTTCTCCTCTCAATTTCTCTCTTTTTTTCCATACTTTTTTAGCATTTTCAAAAGGGTCATTAAAACAAATCAGCTGAAATAAAGTTGTATTGGTTGTGAAATGATCAATGAAAGTTGAAATCAATGAGCCTGTATTAAAAACGAGTTATTTGATTCTAAAGTTTGCTGTCCTAGTGCAAGGAACTTTTTGCTTTACACTCAAACCCGTGTTTTATGAGACTTTGTCCAAGTGCTCGTTAAAATCTGTTTTTTTATATTACACTCAAACCAGTGAAACAGACCATCTTTAAGACCAATACCACAATATTTTAAATCACACCTCAAGGTTATAAAACATTTTTCAGAAGCCTCTTGTTCAGATATTTGTCTCAAATTTCAGGGATTGTTATTGGTCATTGTACATTCTGGCATAGTTTCTGACCAATCAAATACCCGAGATCTGAGTTTGTGCTCAGAGAATCATTTTTATATTACCTTGGACACAATTGTTGGGAGACTTGCATTTAACATTCCATTTTTATACTTATCTTGCAAATAAGTAACCTGTTTCAAGAGACCACCTGCCTAAACAATGGCTGAAGACACAGTTGAATATGTTCTTGATTATTAAATTCTAATCAAGTGAACGGCAAAAGAAATAAACCTGTCTGTTTATATTTTATATAGCCTGTTTTTACAACTTGAAATAATGCTTTTCATACTTATACTTTAATTCATTCCAAAGCCCATCTTCTGCTTGCAAGTAATACATTCTTTGTTTTTTTTAAAAATCTAAATTATTTTCTATGCATCCCAAAGGGATACATACTTACATTAGCTAGGGGATCATTTTAAGCATATAGGACACAGAATTTTGCAATTAAAACCCAGCAGACAGGATTTGTTCATCTTTCAATCTGGACAAAACTGTTATTTAAGGGAAATTTCAAAACAAATGCTGACTTAATAGCAAACATTGCAAACCATGATCAGGCAGATATGCTGGCTGAACCTGTTCAGCACTGGTTGCATGGGTTATTTCAGTTTGCCGCTAGTTGGCTAAGTAGAAGTCTGTATGAAATTTACCATCTTATCTATTTGTAATGATTTTTTGTTACAACCATAATAAAGGTAATGAAACCAAAATAACTACAGACTTTTTTAAGACTTGCATGTAAAGTGACTAAGGGGAGCGGTTGCCTCTTGGTTAAGGTATCTGCCTCCCAACCCAGGGATCATGCGTTTGGGCCCTAATTGGGTCATGACCTGCATGTTATTTCACATGACACCAGTACTAGTGGGTTCCAGGAAGCTGACTCAAAACTGATTAATATAAGTTGCAAGAACTTGTTTCGCAATTGAGTTTAAATAAATATGTTTAAACCAAAGTGACTGTTAAAAATCCCATTTTCTATCTCGGGCTTTTAGTCATAGGAAAGAGTATCTTAATGTAAGTATATCCAGTATATCTCTAATGTTATTTTTTTGTTGTTACTATATGCACTTTCCATAAAATTTATTATTTTCAAATCTAATACATGAGCAAAAAAATTGGACCTTATTCATCCTAGGCAAATAGATGTACATGAGGCAAGAGAATATAAAAGAAAAATTTCTGAAAAATTCCTCCAATAAACAACGCAAACTCTTCGTGTTTGGCCTTAAAGTTTTCTATTACAATTCTATTGATTACATCCCAGGCTAACTTGATAATGGTTTGAAAATAAACTTACAATTAACTCCTAAGAAAATTGTAATTGCCAGAATAAAATTGATATTCTACCAGTTCTGTGCGGAGACTGTGATAAAGTGCCGCATTTCATCGTATTTCACGTTACAGAAGCGGTAGCCTCCTTAAAGAGCAATTGCATTCAATGTAAAAACATGATTTAATGGAATTTGAACAATATCCAGGCTTTTCTTTCACAGAACTTGATTATACATCCAGCTGTCATGATCTCATCTCAAAACTAAAAATCATTCATGAATAATTTTTTCTTCTTTCCGTGCATGCACTTGTTCCATAATGACATCAAGATTGCCCGATTTTTTTTTTCCTTTTTCTTTTTCAATTTTTAATTTTTTTTTTCTTCTTCAAATTTTATATCGTTTTAAAAAGCATGGATAATGTAACAATTGAAAGCTGCTTATTTCTGTTTCACTGGATTATTGTATTTTTTAAGTGATAATAATCTGATACAAGAGCAGTCAGTAGGAGAGCGTGCTCGACTATTCTCAGTGCTTGATAGTAAAACAAGAGCCTGTATGATATAGAATTTTCAAAGTTCAAAAAAGGCTATACTTCTGTCAAAATACATGTTAATGACCTCCTATTATGCTTTCAAATAAGTATATGAAGTTTCAACCCATTCCTTTCAGTTGTTTTGAAGACCTCAACCTAAGACCTCAAACTGCTCGCAAAAACTTAATTCTAAGTGTGATGGCAGTGCCGACACCTGAGAAAACACATAAGCTCTCCCTGTATTTTGAATAGTCAAGCTAAACATCTTCCCCAGTCTATAACAAATAGCAGAATACAGTGACACCCCATACTAGTACCAACATACCAAATATTTAAGGCATCAGTCCAAGAAACTACTTGTAAGTGTTACATGAGGACTAAGAAAAATTCCACTAATGGGAAGGAGGGTTATATTAACAACACATGAAAAGTTTTGAGAATCATGAAAAAAAGAAAATTCAGGTATGAAATAAAGTAGTTTTTGTCATCAACCTTCTTCAACCTTTCAAAGATAAATGCAAGTCCTTTCCTGGTTCCCACATCACCTTAATAAAATAAGAAATAACCTGTTTTTAAGGTATACGTACTGGTTCCCTAGTCACATCTTGTTAAAATAAGAAATTACCTGTTTACTAGGTATAAGTACTGGTTCCCTAGTCACATCTTGTTAAAACAAGCAATTATCATAGTATTGCAAGCAATCCATAAGTCCCCTACCGGTAAGAGCCCAAGCAACATTCTGAAGGGCCATTGGCCATTCACTTAGGTTCCTATTTTAAGTAAATTTGTTGAAAAAGTTCTTTAAAAGTGATCACAGGAAACAGTTTTTATGTACAGACAGACGGACTGAAGGACACTCTAAAGTTATTTTTTAAACATCCCTGTTATCAAAATATAACATTTTTAAAATCCTATCATGATTGAAGAAGTTGGAGTAAAAATTACCAATTTCTCAAAAAAAAAGTCTAAGTTCAAAAGGGGCATAATTCTGGAAATAGTCTTGCTAGAGTATTGAACACTCACAAATGTTGAGTGACAATAAGAAACATTTATATGAAGTTTGAAGTAGATACATTCAGAAAAAGAAGTTAATAAAAAAAAACAATGTTTTTTTTTCATGAAAATTTTAAGTTCAAGGGAGGTAATTCTGATAAATTTTGTGCTAGAGTTGTAAACCTTGTCACATATGATGTGGTTGATGACAAGCAACTTATATTTAAAGTTTGAAGAAAATACCTTAAGAAATAAAGAACTTATAGCGAAAAAACTTAAAAACTAGAATCAGAAATCTTGAAATTCAGTCTATTTGTTGCCATAGCAACCAGAATTTTCAACATAGGAAGATAAAAAAGGATGTGCATAATTTCCATACTGCCATCTACCCATATGTCAAGTTTCATAAACATATTTTCAGTACTTTTTGTGTTATCACTGGATCCAGGTTATGTGTAAAATTTGCCATATTTTCAGTCTATTTGTTGCCATAGCAACCAGAATTTTCAACATAGGAAGAAAAGAAAAAGACGTGCATAATCTCCATACTGCCATCTATCCATATATCAAGTTTCATAAAAATATTTTCAGTACTTTTTGCGTTATCGCGGGATCCAGGTTATGTGTAAAATTTGCCATATTTTCAGTCTATTTGTTGCCATAGCAACCCTATTTGTTGCCATAGCAACCAGAATTTTCAACATAGGAAGAAAAGAAAAAGACGTGCATAATCTCCATACTGCCATCTATCCATATATCAAGTTTCATAAAAATATTTTCAGTACTTTTTGCGTTATCGCGGGATCCAGGTTATGTGTAAAATTTGCCATATTTTCAGTCTATTTGTTGCCATAGCAACCAGAATTTTCAACATAGGAAGAAAAGAAAAAGACGTGCATAATCTCCATACCGCCATCTATCCATATATCAAGTTTCATTAAAATATTTTCAGCACTTTTTGCGTTATCGCGGGATCCAGTTTTGTGGACGGACGGACTGACGGACGGACGGACGGACGGACTGACGGACGGACGGACGGACAGACAGACGGACAGACGGACGGAGGGTAAACCTAAAGTCCCCTCCGGTAAACCGGTAGGGGACTAATAAGAAATTACCTGTTTACTAGGTATAAGTACTGGTTCCCTAGTCACATCTTGTTAAAATAAGAAATTACCTGTTTATTAGGTATCAATATACTGTCATCTAATGTCCAGTTATATAAGATGTTGGTACCAGTAACAGTTGAAGCCTCCCATGAACAATACTCATATCTGTAATGATACAAAAAATATCATAAACAGTACATATATAGGCTTAATACCCAAACTCAAAATTCCTATTTCAATTTAACACAGGAAATTACTTTAAACCAATCTCACATAATATGTGAAGAAATAAATCAAGGGGCCCGAATTCAGTTATAATTCATCAAATCAGGGGCATTCAGGAGTATTCAGGGGCAGCAAAAATATCTGTCTGTATTGCACAGGTTATCCCACAACCTGTACGGTCAAGCGCAAATATTTAAGAATTTACTATACAAGTTAAAAAATGCTTTAGATAAAAACGGACATGTAAGTCAAAATAAAATTTTGCTGGCTCTGGAGCATTAGTTTTTTCCACCAATATCACAGAGGCATGTGAAGAAATAAATCAAAGGGCCATAATTCTGATAAAATTCATTAAATCACAGAGCACTTGTTGACAATCATTCTGTAAAAGTTTGATTGAAATTTGACGAGAAATACGGGAGGAGTGTGGCTTAAAAGAGATTGTGTACGCCCAGGCACAACTAAATATTATGATGGGGAGTTTTGCTTTAGAAAACCTGGTTTATACAACCTGTCTGGTTAGCTTTGTGAAAAAAGTCCAAGAACATTCTTATTGTGAATTTTGGTATGTCAGTGGTATTCCGTAATGATTTGAAGAATTCAAGCACTTGCATACAATTTCAAACTTCAAATATAAGAATGTTACAAACAATAATTAAACCTGATCTGAAAATATGTTGAAAGCTTATGTTTATTTTGTCTGTATTTATTGTTGTTGAGAAATATCAGTGCTAAGAATAGTCACTCTTGGGACAAAAATAATTCCTGCTAACACTGAAAATAAACTTCAATGTTGACTATTCCAGAAATTCAAAAAACCAAATCCCATAAAGCAGAAAATCATCAAACTATCGTTTATATCTATTCATCTTTCAACCTTTGACCTTTCTATACCTGACTTTTATCATAAAGATAACAATACTTATAATTAGCAGACAACAATTCAGTATCTCCCATTAACAAGGTTTAATAGTAGACAAGAAGGTGAGACAAGTCCTCTAATTAACTTTTTAGGAAATACCATTTCCACAGAAAGAGAGGCTACAGAAAGAGAGGCTTTTTATGTTTCCTCTTTTAACCTTTGCCATAATGAAATTGTACATTCTCTATAGTGGCTGATACAGTGCCTGTTCAGTTTCCATGGGGGTGTGAAGGTTAGCCCATTACAGTGCCTGTTCAGTTTCCATGGGTGTACAGGATAGCCTGATACAGAGCATGTTCAGTCTCCGTGAATGTACAGGATAGCCTGATACAGAGCATGTTCAGTTTCCATGGGTGTACAGGCTGGCCTGATTCATAGCCTGTTCAGTTTCCATGGGTGTACAGACTGGCCTGATACAGTGCCTCTGTTCAGTCTCCATGAATGTATAGGCTGGCCTGATACAGTGCCTCAGGTCAGTCTCCATGAATGTACAGACTGGCCTGATACAGTGCCTCAGTTCAGTCTCCATGAATGTACAGGCTGGCCTGATACAGTGCCTCAGTTCAGTCTCCATGAATGTACAGGCTGGCCTGATACAGTGCCTCAGTTCAGTCTCCATGAATGTACAGGCTGGCCTGATACAGTGCTTGTTCAGTCTCCATGAATGTACAGGCTGGCGTGATACAGTGCCTCAGTTCAGTCTCCATGGATGGGCAGACTGCCTGATACAGTGCTTTGTTCAGTCTCCATGAATGTACAGGCTGGCCTGATACAGTGCCTCAGTTCAGTCTCCATGAATGTACAGGCTGGCCTGATACAGTGCTTGTTCAGTCTCCATGAATGTACAGGCTGGCCTGATACAGTGCCTCAGTTCAGTCTCCATGAATGTACAGGCTGGCCTGATACAGTGCCTAATTTCAGTCTCCATGAATGTACAGGCTGGCCTGATACAGTGCCTCAGTTCAGTCTCCATGAATGTGCATGCTGGCCTGATACAGTGCCTCAGTTCAGTCTCCATGAATGTACAGGCTGGCCTGATACAGTGCCTAATTTCAGTCTCCATGAATGTACAGGCTAGCCTGATACAGTGCCTCAGTTCAGTCTCCATGAATGTACAGGCTGGCCGGATACAGTGCCTCAGTTCAGTCTCCATGAATGTACAGGCTGGCCTGATACAGTGCTTGTTCAGTCTCCATGAATGTACAGGCTGGCCTGATACAGTGCCTCAGTTCAGTCTCCATGAATGTACAGGCTGGCTTGATACAGTGCTTGTTCATTCTCCATGAATGTACAGGCTGGCCTGATACAGTGCCTCAGTTCAGTCTCCATGAATGTACAGGCTGGCCTGATACAGTGCCTCAGTTCAGTCTCTGTGAATGTATAGGCTGGCCTGATACAGTGCTTGTTCAGTCTCCATGAATGTACAGGCTGGCCTGAAACAGTGCCTCAGTTCAGTCTCCATGAATGTGCAGGCTGGCCTGATACAGTGCCTCAGTTCAGTCTCCATGAATGTACAGGCTGGCCTGATACAGTGCCTCAGTTCAGTCTCCATGAATGTGCAGACTGACCTGATACAGTGCCTCAGTTCAGTCTCCATGAATGTACAGGCTGGCCTGATACAGTGCCTCAGTTCAGTCTCCATGAATGTGCAGACTGACCTGATACAGTGCCTCAGTTCAGTCTCCATGAATGTACAGGCTGGCCTGATACAGTGCCTCAGTTCAGTCTCCATGAATGTGCAGACTGACCTGATACAGTGCCTCAGTTCAGTCTCCATGCATGTACAGGCTGGCCTGATACAGTCCATGAATGTACACAATGCCTGTTCAGTCTCCATGGATGGGCAGACTGCCTTATACAGAGCTTGTTCAGTCTCCATAGATGTGCAGGCTGGCCTGATACAGAACTTGTTCATTCTCCATGGATGTGCAGCCTGGTAGGATACAGTGCCTGTTCATTCTCCATGGATGTGGAGGGTGGCGGCCTGATTCTATGCTGGTGGTACAGGAAATGCCATTACCATCATTATTGTCACTAAAACTTAACAATGAATGATTTACAGAGGCAAAAAAAAAACACATTATCATAGTGAGTAATGGAGTACATAGTACTAATGTTTAGCTTTTTATGCTTGCTTTCCTGCCCAGAAACATCAATAGATAAACATCGGTAATTAACTGCTTCCTACAGCAAGTACAGACTTTACATCAAACAAAATCCTCAATGCTATGCTTATTTCCCAATAAATAGTTTGATGCATACTTGCACTTTATTTAAACAGATATATACCATTTTCTTAACGTTTTACACAGGACAGACCTTTTTTCAATTTTTTCAATAAAATATTTCAATACTCATTTGCACAAAAAAATGCAATACTGTTTTCTAATGAAATGCACTCAATTTTGAAATCACATATTCTTGGTGAAAGGGTTACAAATGAAGGTTTACAAAGATGTAGTCATGATATAATTTGAGCCCTTATTGACCATGATATAATTTGAGCCCTTATTGACCATGATATAATTTGAACCCTTATTGACCATGATATAATTTGAACCCTTATTGACCATGATATAATTTGAACCCTTATTGACCATGATATAATTTGAACCCTTATTGACCATGATATAATTTGAACCCTTATTGACCATGATATAATTTGAACCCTTATTGACCATGATATAATTTAAACCCTTATAGACCATGATATAATTTGAACCCTTATTGACGAAGGGTAACTCATTTCAAAGACAATTACATTGTCATGTTAACAATTTGGACAAATATACTCATGTACAACAATAGTTATCAATATCAATGCAAGAATTTTTTTTATGAATTTTAAAGAAAATTGCATGACTATGTATATATACAAAACCCTCTATTGTTTATTGTTAAAGTACAAAAATAAGAAGAAGCCAAATTGATTCAACAGTGGTACTATTACCTAGCAGACAGTTAACTGAGGTAATTGAATTTATTGTAAAAACAGTCTATCAAAACTCACTATCAAATTTACACCTTTGTGCTTTCAATCAGTCTGCAGATACAGTGTAATTTAAATTGATTTGAGCCGTGTCACGACAAAACCAACATAGTGCGTTTGCAACCAGCATGGATCCACACCATCCGCACAGTCTGATCAGGATCCATGCTGTTTGCTTACCAATCCTATTACAAGTAGAGAGACTGATAGCGAACAGCATGGATCCTGATCAGACTGTGCGGATGCGCAGGCTGGTCTGGATCCATGCTGGTCGCAAAGCCATTTTGTTGGTTTTGTCATGACACGGCTAATTTACAAACTTTTCCTGTATTCACTTTACAGGTAATTTCCCCTCCCCTGTTCTCTCAGACTTCTAATTTACCAGGGGTCTCCATAGACTTGTCCTTTAAACAACATTAAGAGCTATCCAATGTAGTTCTATCCAAGGTAAGAGATTTAGCAGACATAAAAAAGCAGTATGACAGCAAGGTGTGATCTGGCTTTATATTGGCAGTGAAGGGTAGAACCATCCTTGTTGTTATTCTGAAAAAACGTTTTCTTTTTTTGTTTTTTTTTTAAATTGAACCAACACTGTAAAGGTCAAATAGTGATTTACCAGCTTTACTTGTGGAGGAAGACCTCAGGTGCCCCACCATGCATTATCTAAATGGGAAGATCAGGCACCTGAGTAGAACCATTGATGCTATGTAACTTAATTGGATCCCATTCGTGCATTATTAATATTTCATGGGCATTACTATTTCATGGGCAAGAATGGAACCCTGTGAAGAACCACCAACTTTCGGTAAGCTAGTCGTTTAGCTTCCTAACAAAATTTTTTTCAGAAAAGTTTGGAAAATAAAATTCCTCTAAAAAAACCCATACCAAACAAGGCCAAGAAAGAAACTTTTTTAAAAAATTTTTTTTTTCCCCCAGTTAGCACGCAGGTCAAGGCATTACTTTTTAAAAAAAACCCAAAACAAATAATTAAATTCAAAATTTCTCAAAACCCAAATGGGGGATGTTTGGGGAATTAAAATTAAAATAAAAAAGGTTTTCCCCTCTTTTAAAAAGGCCACACTTCTGGTCCAAGAAGTTTGTTTAATTTCCCGCGACTGGTTTTTGCAACGGTGAAAAATTTTTAAGAAAACCCGACTGTATCTTAAAAGGGTGGATGCCCGGGGCAAACCCAACCATTTGGGGGAAAAGTTGGAAATTTTCCAGGAATTTCCAAAAAAATTGGGGGAACGTTTTGCCCTTCCAACTAAAAATAAAAAAAATTTTAAAGGTGAAAATTTAATCCATTTTATTTAAGAAACTTTACCCAAGGGGAATTTAAAAAAAGGGAATTTTAATTTTAAACTTTAAGAAAAAGGGGGGGAATTAAAAATTTGTAAAAAATTTTAAATTTTTTGTTCCCCTTTGCCATGGAGTTTTTTAAACCCCCATTTCCCCTGTTTAAAAAAAAAAAAGAATTAGCCCCTTTTGCCAAACCCCAATATTTGGGGGGCCTTTTGTTTGAAAAACCCGAATTAAAACCTGATCAGGCCCTATGGGGTGTTTGGGGTTTTAATTTTTAAAAATTTTATTAAAATTAAAAACAAACCCCTTTTTAAAATTCAAATGGATTTTTTTTTGTTTGTTTGATTGGGTTTTTTAAACCTTTAAGCCAAAAAAAGGTTATTAAACTGCGTCATTTCCAAAACTTTTTCTGGGGAGGGGAAATCCTAAAAAGGGGGCCGGCCTCCCGCAATTTATTCCAAGGCACAAGGGCCAAAAACCCGGAAGGAAAAAACCCAGCCGGGCGTTGCCCCTAACTAGCGGAAGCTTTTCCCCACAAAGGAAAAAAATTCCAAATCCCCTTTTCTGGATTGGAAAAACCCCCAGCCGGGGAAGGGGGGCGTTTTTAATCAACCAAATTCGGCAAAGGGAAAAACCCCAAAATTTAAATGGACTTTTCCAAACTTTAAAGCCCTTTCAAACCAATTAATACCCCAAAAATTTTTGGGATGTTTTTAATTTATTAAAAGGGGAGCCCGTTGGGGAAAAACAAAATTTAAACCCGTTCAAGGCTTGGCTTAGGGGCCTAACCCCTTGGGTGGGGCATGCTGGCCCGGGGTAAGAAAGTAATAAAATGCCACCAAGCCAAAAACCTAAGAGGGCCAAACAATTTTTATTTGGCCCAAGCCACCCCCTCTTTAAACAAATTTACAACCAATTTTCAAAAAGGTTTAAAAATTTTTTAATTTTCTTTCTTAAACAAAAGGAAACCAAACCTTTTTTGGGGGTTTAAATTGGGGTTTTAAAGGGTTTTCAGTTTTTTAGGGAAACACAAAAACCCCTTTGGCCGAGTTTCTAGTTTACCTTTTGTTCAAACATTTTTTTAGTTAAAAGGGGTTTGAATCCAATTTTGGCCCGGATATTTTTTTAAAAAAATTAACTACATGTAATTTTTTTACAAAATTTGGATTGCTCCTCAGATTAAAAATTTAAATATTAAAATGTAAGTTTACTTACTGGTAAGTGAATCCCCTGAACACCTTGGAATGCCCATCGCTGTAGCTAACTCTCACTTCCTTACACAATTCCACCGGGGTCTGAAACATATTAAACAATAGATTAAAAAATATATTCATTAAACAATCAACAATTTACCTATGAAAATTTATATCAAATATATTGTTAACCTTTATTCTTTCACAGAGTCGTACAAATTTTGTATTAGTTAATATGCAACTTGAATTAGATAATATGCAACTTTTATTAGTTAAAATGCAACTTTAAATAGTTAAAATGCAACTTTTAAAAGTTACTATGCAATTTTTATTAGTTAATATGATAATATGCAATTTTTACTATTTAAAATGCAACTTTTAATTATTAATACACAACTTTTTTTAGTTTTGACTATATTACACTATGGTATATGCTTCCATGCAAACTTTTTTTCATTTCTAACTTTGTAAGATACTTCTACTGTCAAATACATTCAAGTTTTTCATATTCGTCTGATTTGTTCAAATCAACCTTTCACCCTTTTGTCTAATTTGCATGCATCAACTTTTTCTTATTTCAAGTCTTAATTTTGTAATAGATGGCTTTTTTATTGTATATCACACCATTCTAATATTCTTTGGCACAATTAGTATTTTTCTAACTCCCTTCAACAGGCTTTATTTCCTAAGACATATCAGATTCAAAATATGTACATTTCATATTTATCTTAATAGAAATACTCTGAGTTGAGATATTATGTTATACAATGTGTTATTGACAATATCTTTGGCTCAACATATAGCAAAAATGCTTATCAAGAAAAGATGTAAATGCATCTCAGTATCTGCTCAAAGCATCATTAAAATTTTGACTCAATATCATATCAAACTTAAGCAAAGACTTCATACCAAAGTACAAATCCAAATTACAAATACTAATGACACAATTTTGGTATTTTCTCTTTTATTTGCTGCTTAGACTTGTTTAAGAATCAATGCTTCAAACCATGAAAATATAAAAACCATGAATATCAGACTACTATGACAATGGATGCAACAAAGATAATTAAAATCAGACCAGTCAAACCACCAATAAATACTGTTAAACTAGCCCAGACAAACATAAATGAACATCCAACAAACCATGGAACATTGCACCAAATAAAACCATTAAAACCAGACAAACCATGAAAATTAGACCAAACCATGGAGAATTGCACCAGATAAACTATTAGAACCAGACAAACCATGAAAATTAGACCAGACAAACCATGGAAAATTGCACCAAATAAACCATTAAAACCAGACAAACCAAAATTTTGAGAAAATTAGACCAGACAAACCATGGAAAAAAATGCACCAGATAAACTATTAAACCCAGACAAAGCATGAAAACAAGACAAGACAAACACTGAAAATTTGTAAAATATGAAACAAGATTAACATCCAAAACCAACACATTCTTCACAATCTTACAAGGTTCTTGAACCTCTATTCCTCAAATCTTACTCCTTTTTTTTGACTGTCTCTTTGACAAGATACACATAATTTCCCATATATAATATAATACCAGCTTCATTACAATGCCAACTCCTATAGAGCTAGCTGGCATCATTATAATTGCTAGGAAATCTCTTCTATATTATAACAATTGCTGTTATATAAAAGAATCTTTCTGTATAGACTTATATCTTGTTTAGAAACATTTCATGTTACATTACAATACATTTCTATAGCAGGTGTCTCTGTTAACCAGAATTCATTAAGATAAAGGGGAGTAAATTTCCCATCATGCTCTGGGAAACATCAGGATACTGCTTATCAAGAAACTTAAATTGTTCCTATTCTTTTTGTTATCATTTTTATTGTATAGTGTCTATACCAACTGTCTAATTTATGTTCCCTATCATTATACTAGCATTTAGGACCTGTTAATGTTTCACATAAAAGACATTAACTTTGACCCTGCTTGAACTAAGCCTTAAAGCTGCATTCCTCCAGATGAGTCAAAATATTTTAAGAAAATTAAATTTCTGAAAATGTACTAAGATTCTTAGAAAAAGTTAAAAAAATTTAAGATTTAAGTAATAACTTACATGTTGTGTATGATTTGGGACTGATTTTGTGGTCTTTATCACTATATTTCTAACGCAGTAAGGACTATTTTTGTATATTTTGACCTGTTTTTTGGTAAATTACATGGATTGTAAGTGCCGTTTGCAAATGTGTAAATTATTTTCTCAGTTCACTTCACAATATTTTACTTTAAATATATTTTAAATATTTTCGTAAAAAATAAGCATAAATTTGGAGGCATGCTGCTTCAATTTCCTCCAGTATAGAGCCAGCCCATCCAGACTCATATGCTGTTGAGCTCTGGAACATTTGTGATGGTCAAAATTGTGACCTGAAATCAATGACCCCTTAAATCATATTAAAAGCCCTGAAATCATTCAGCCCTGAAATAATTTGGTGTAGACCCTGAATCCTTGGGATGTGGATTAAATGTTGACTTGAAAGCATTTTATCTACAGTCTAAACTCAATTTCTATTCTCCTCCTTTACCTACCAAAAACCTTAAGATGGTTTACTCCTTTCAACACTTCATTACCTGAAAAATCTTGCAAGAAAAACAAAATAACAACCCTTAAGTGACATGTAAGTTTTTCCCCCTTCTTTTCCATTACCTGAAATATCTCTCCAACCTGAATTATCTCTCCAAATAAAACAGGTAGTTCTAAATTAACAAATTTTCAGAAATTTTCATCTGCTTTCTGTTATATAAAATCAAAGAAAAAACAGAAAATTTCACCAGCATAAAGAAACCATATGCTCCAAGTCTTATTTCACTGTGCATGCAGATATATAAACCTGTGTGCCTATGTTACACACATAGATTATTACTAACCGGCAGTTTCTAAATTGTTAAAGACTCTGTTTATCATAACATGCCAGGCAAGAATTCTGGGAACATTTTAGTAATTCTCAACTCATTTCAGAAGCATGCATGAAGAATGAAACAGTTTAAGACACATAGGTATAAAAACCATACTACAGACACTAGACAGTTCCCTTCCTGCTTGGAGAACCTCCAAAAAAACTTTCTCTATTTCAATACACTTACCTTGCTTTTGATATTATTCATTGCACAAAATCTTTTCAAAAGTACTAACTTCCTGGAAACGGACAATTTTTTTTAAAAACAATTTACGAAATTCATGGGGAAACAATGCTCCCAGGAAAATACCCAAAAGCTGAACAATGTGCATGAAGTACTTTCGAATTGTTCATTTTTTTTTCTTTTTTAAGAATGTTGTGAAGTTTAAAGAAAGAATTCCGTTTAAAATCACAATTGGCACGGCAAATCTTCCGGAAGAATTCTGGAACCAGAAGAAAAATTTTAATTGGCTTTCAACAAAAAAGCAACCAATTTTTCATTGAAGAGTTGGTTTTTATTATCAATTTTGGGAGAAAAAACAAAATAGCAGATTGCTCTTGCAATTGAGATAAAATGAAATTTTTAAAATAACTTTTCAACCTTGCTATATTTCAAGATTTGATGGATGAAATATTGGTTCTAAGGTTTCAGAGCCATATCACAAAACAGAAAGATTATCATAGCTTGAATATTTAACTATTTGAACACTAGCAGGAAAAAAAACCTCTGAACACTAGCTACAAAAACCTTTGAAGTCTAGCTGCAATAATGCCCTTTGAACACTAGCTGCAATGATATCATATGAACACTAGCTGCAATGATAACTTTTGAACATTACGATGGCTCAGCGCAATACTGGTCTAACTGCTATTTTTGAAAATGTTCAGGAGAGACAAAAAACTGATTTTATTCAAAAATACTTATATTAGAAAATATTTTTTTGCTATGTTAACATTAATTATAATAAGAAATAATGCCATTTATATAATTTTTTATTAAAATGTTACAAATTGTGTATTTTAGAGTTAGACCTTTATTGCGCTGAAATTCTGAGCGCAATACAAGACTAACTTGAGTTAGACTCAAATTCCCTCTTGCAATTTGGTAAAAGTGGTACAAATATTTGAGTTAGACCTGTTTTATGTTAAATATTCTGATATAATGAAATTTTAAATTTTGAACAACATTGTTTTGTTAATTTAAACATTGTTTAAAATATTTTGCAAGTCTGTAAAAGAACTTTACAAAGACTAAATCCTTTAATATTTTTCTATTAATATATCATGCGAGCTGACTTTAGATGAAAGTACACTTCTTTCTCCTTTTTCAATTTGTTTGAGATTCAGATTTACTTAAGATCTTTTGCAGATTATCTGTGCAATAAATTTGAATTCTAAACAAAATGCAAACAGTTTTGATTCATATAGTGTTATGAACAGTAGTCATGAACAATGATGACTGACGATCCAGGTATATATTATGATATCAAACAGGGAATGTACATTTTGTATAACTCACATTTGTACAAAGAAGACACATTTTATTTTCTCAATGCACACCATTACCGCCATTGGTGCTTAAATGCTGTGATTCCGATATTACTGTTATGCGCTAAATCTTAATGAATTTAATGTATGTGGTCCTCTTTTCTGATGATATAATCATTTATAAATATCAAATATTTTCAAAAATGAAAACCGCTGTTAGACCATGCTTTTATTACAACTTTTGTATGTACTTTCTCAACTGTTTAGAGTATATTTTGAAAGTGTAATGTGCAAATTTTATGACATGTTTTGCTGAAAACTTTCATTTTATACAGTTGACTCTCAATAAGTCAAAATCGCTTTACTCAAAATTCCGTGTTAGTCGACTCGAAGTCCCGTCAAATTTCCTTCGTTATCTTTGTATTTTAACTCCGCTTAGTTCAAATTTTGACTAACCAAGACTCCTGTTTAGTCGAAAAGAAAATTTGGTCCCGTCAGTTAAAGTCCAACATATTGTCATCTAAATTAGTCGAAGTGTGAAAACCGCCAACTGATCAAAGGTTGGCGACATCAAGGTGAGGTGTTGCCACTCGTGATTCAAACGTTTCATGGTAATTTTAATTGTTGGTCATCATGATTTATTAAGTCGTAAAAGTGGCTTTAATCGGTTTCAGGAC